AAGGAGGGGGGGGGGAGAAGGAGGGGGTTGGACCGCGAACCACCCACTTCCATGTCGACACAACCGCGACAGGGGTGCACTCCTGGTATGTACTTACTAAGGCCGGAACCTTTCCCCCTCCCTCTGCCCCCTCCCTTCCCTTTGGTGCTGCCACTTCCCGCTGGCCACCCATGGGCGTCACCCCAGGCCACGCCGCACTAAACCAGGCCTGTTAACTTTGCAGTTATTCAGCCAGAGGACGGTTGCGTCCCTGGACAGCTGCGCAGGTACACGCTTAACTGGGTCCGACCCCACGAAAAAGGGATTGCCAAGGAGAATAAAATCGAAGGTGAAATAAGCACAGCCTTGGTAGAAACTTAAGTAGTGTAATCTTCATTATTGTGCACAGACACACACACTCACAGGCACAAACAAATTGCCAAGGGAGGAAAATACAATTAGAGATGGCCCGAAATCGAACGAGTCACCAGTCTGGAACGCTGTAAAGGGGTCCAGCCGGCAGGGGTGATCCGCTTTGGCAGCATCCTCGACACCTGTCAGACGGAATCAGATAAATCTCAATTTGTAATCCGAACAAAGAAGCTCCGCGCTCGGGAGCTGGGATCCGGCGAGGTCAATGCGTGTCCGAAGAGATTACCAAAGTTCGTCGCGAATAATAAAACGAGAGGCAAGGAGAGGCGTTTTGGCCGACGACGCTGCTGCCACACCGTCAAACTAATTGCAAAATTTTCCACTTTTCGCCTGAAATGTAATTGCTACGCTCGATTGGCGTTTCGTATGAAATGGACGAAGAGAGTGGTGAAGAAGTACGAGATAGAAAGAGATGAGAATCGACTGGAGAAGGAGAGAGAGAAAGGGAGAGGGAGAAGGACCTTTCTTCCGGGACAATGGGTCGGGGACCGGCGCCCTAGCCTTTCAGTGTTTCCAAATGAAATCAACACGCGCCTCCCAGCGTGCTCCTGCTCCCCGGTCGGAGCCTGCTAGTCTGCCTTTGCTCTCACGTTCACTATCACACCAGACGTCATATTTTGCCTTCTTACCATTCTGGGTCGAACAGTGTACTTGTTGTGGTAGAACTTTATTGGGATAGTACAGAGATGATAGTACTTGCCTGACGGGCTCGCTGTCGTTGGAGTGGCCCTAGGCTCCACCCGACGACGGCTGGTAGAACACGCCGATGCAGACGCCCACGGCGCACAGGGCGGCCACGGCCAGCCCGGCGCCCCACACTGAAACACAGCGGAGCGGGAGGGACACTGAGACGTGAGAGGAGGGCGTGTTTGGAGAGTATGGAGAGCGTGTGGAGACGTGTGCAAACGTACCTTGGATTTAACTTCAAAACATGTCTCCGTTGTTCAAAAGAAAATTTTAATTTTGACGTAGATGTACAGCTATAGTATGTTAATGTAAGGGAATTATTTTAAAATAAAGGAATTCAACTTCAATCCAATGTCAAAATTTTGTTTGGAACAGCAGAAGCACTTTTTTGCAGTGAAACAAAAGGTACGTTTTTCTGGGTGTGGGGAGCGTGGTCATCGCCGGGGAGCGTGAGCCGCGACAACGCACTTACCGATGAGCCGCTTCTGGGTGCGAGAGTTGGCCATGTTGTGCGGCGCCGACGCGCGCGGGCGCCCGCGGCGAGCTTTTATCACGCGAGGCGAGGCGCTGCAGCTGATAACAGCCGCGGTGGACGTTGTCTCCTCTCGCCGACCTGTATGCATGCGAGCATCACCTGGTGATTACGTCATCCTGGAGAACCGTACACCGTGCACCGCAGCAGAGCGGTTTGTGAACGCGTGATGGTAAACGACGGTTGCCTCCACGAGACAAACTCTCTCAAACTTGTCAGTGAGAGACCTGCTAACTGCAGTGGGGCTTTGTAGCCCTTTTGTTTTTAGTTTTTGTTAAAAATTATTTACAATTTCTTTCGCTCTTGTCAAGGCGAGCAGGTACGGAGGTAGTACTGCTCACGCACCGCAGTGACGGCGGCGTCGCGGCGGGGACGAACTCCAGGGGGCGTCTCGGCCGGGCACACAACCCGCACTCACCATGCATGCCCGTAATGAAGCTGTTAGCATCTTGCAATCCCCTCTCCCCGGCTCTCCCCGGCTCTCCCCCGCTCTCCCCTTCCCTCCGTCCGAATGGGTGCGCGCGCTACCGCTAATTGCATTCCTGTCGCGTGTTGGGACCCCCCCCCCCCCTCCCTCCCTTTCTCTCTCTCTCTCTCTCTCTCCCTCCCTCCCTCTCTTTCTCTCTCTATCTACCGCCCCCGCTCGGTCCACCCCACGATGCTGCTGCTGGTGCTCTCCTTTCCGAAACTTCCCGGCACCTATCACCCCCGGGGATTTCATGCACCTAAGCCGAGTGGCCCTCCTCCCCTCGCCCTCGTCGTTGCCTCCCCCTCCTCCCCAGCGGCACGAACCATCTAGATTCCTGCTGCTCCCCTTCGCCGCCCCCAACACACTGCTGGCCCTGCTCCTGGCCGCACATAGCCACTGGGATTAACAACTCGTTGCGGGAGACCATCTCTAAAAATTCTACGTGCCTCTTGCGCTGTACGAGTGTTGCCCCTCCGCTCTACCTCGGCTGAGCACCTCGCCACCCCTCCGGCCACCTCACCTGCTGCCGAGTCTGTTAAAAAAAAGACACAAGAAAAACGACTAAACAAAATAACTGGTGATGGTGAGTTTTGAGACTATATAAAAGACTAAGAGTTTGCGGTGTAAACGAGAGGGTCGGCCAACTATGCCAAACTGGGGTGCATTATGCACGCCTCCCCAGTGAAACGCTTTAAGAAACAAATTGCAGTCGTGACGGCCGTGACGGCTCCTGCTCTATTGAGCAGTTGGGAGGGGAGTAACTTGGCTCTTGGCTCTCTGAGATGAGTCAAAAGATGAGCCCAGGCGAACTTGAGCTGAGGCTAAAGGGCCAAAACCGAAATATCGCTATACTTTGTGGTACAGTACGACGGTGATCGACTTCGACAACGTCGAAGACATCGAAAACGCGATTCTCTACATGCACCACGGGGGAGAAAGAGGCCTAATAGAGAGTGAGGAGGGGAAGGAGACTTTGCCCTCTGGTAGAGACAGTCTTTGGGGGACTGTCTAATATGCTAATCATAAATTTTATCAAGCCTACAAGAAACCCCGATTCTTTCATCGCTGGCCACCACCAGGTGCGAGCGTTTCTCCTCGTCTTTGTTCGCAACGCTACACAACTGAGGGAAGCAGTTTTGCGCCGCTCTCTCCCCACTGGTGTGGGTCTCGGGCCTCCTCTCTCGCTTTGGTCACCCCCGCCGCCGCCCCGGCCAGCCCCAGCCGGCAGTGCGAAAACGGCGACCCTCCGCGCCGTGGCCGCCGGCCGCCTGTGGCCCTGCGCCCCGCCCAAGTTTAGCGATAGCTGCGAGATAGGCCACGCGTAATGTGCTGAGAACCGGCACGTGGAAAATAAACGCCTTCGGTGGGAAAAGGGGGGAGGGGGTGGGGGGACACGCCTCGGACCGGCGCGGGCTCGGACCGAACGGCGGAAGGAAGTCAAGCAGTCCCCCGCCGGAGTTCGGCCGCTGCGAGCGCGCGCCTGCCCAGCTCAGCCCCCCGGCTCCACGGGAACTGTTGTCTTCTGTTTTCGCGGAATTATCGCCGTGCAATAAAGCAAGCGCGCCATGCTCGGCGTGAGGATAATGGCTCGTGATAAACAGGAGCATGACGAGTGGAGGCGGGGCGGGGTGGGGCGGTGTCCCTACAGGGGGCTGCTACTGCTCTGCGCCTGCCTGGACGCCCAATTGGCAATCTCCAGCGTAGTGGGGTGCGGTGGTGGCGCGGCGGGGCGCGGCGGGG